TGTGCAAAAAAGAGCAACAAAGATGATAAGAGAATCTGGAGGTTAAATCATATGAGAACAGTTGAAGGAACTAGATGTATTTACCCTATGAAAGAGAAGGATTGAGCGGACATGACAGCTGTCTTCAAGTACTTGAGGGGCTGATACAAAGAAAAGGGGACTGACTTATTCTTTAAGGCAGTAGAGGCTAGAAAAAGAAATAATAGGTGGAAGCTTGTTAAAGAGAGATCTAATCTAGAAGTAAGGAGAAATTTTCTGATAGTGAGAGCAACGGATCAATGATAGCTTGCTTCCTAAGGTTTTGGGGTACTCCATCACTGGAGATTTTCAAAAATAGATTGGACAATCATTTGACTGGCATAAGGCGACTGCCTTGAGCAGTGGGTTCAACTAGAAGAACTCTAAGAACCCTTCCTGCCCTGTGATTTTATGATATTTGTTAATTAATGGGACTCTGGATTTTGTGTTGACACCTGGATTAGAGATGTTGTTAATGGATTTGCTATAGCTAAGAGTTGAAATTTGGAACCAAACTCTGTCAAGGACCTTGGAGTTCTCATCTCTAATGATTTAAGTGCTAGAGCCCACTGTAACTACATAGCTAAAAAAGCATTAAGAGTTGTTAACCTAATCCTATGTAGCTTTTTCTCTGGTAATATCACACTACTAACGAGAGCATACAAAACATTTGCTAGACTAATACTTGAATACAGCTCATCAGTCTGGAACCCGCATTATGTATCTGATATTAACACAGTTGAGAAAGTCCAGAAATATTTCACAAGAAGAGTTCTCCACGCCTCTACTCGTTGCAGAATACCTTATGCCACCAGACTTGAAATTCTAGACCTAGAAAACCTAGAACTACACTGCCTTCGGTCCGATCTAAGTATAGTATATAAAATTATACATTGCAATGTCCTATCTGTCAACGAATACTTCAGCTTCAACCATAACAATACAAGAGCACACAATAGATACAAACTCAAGGTAAACCGTACTAAACATGATTGCAGGAAATACAACTTTAGTAACAGAGTAGTAAATGTCTGGAATACTCTATCTGACTCTGTGGTTTCTTCCCCAAACCCCAAAAACTTTAACCTTAAGACTGTCTACTATTGACCTCACCCCTTTCCTAAGAGGTCTATAGGGGGTGTGCATAAGCGCACCAACATGCCTACCGTCCCTGTCCTATTCTTTTTATTTTTCTTTTATTTCTCTTATATGTATCCATTTCATGTATCCATAACTATGTTTATACTTATACCTGTTATCTTATAATTGCTTGACTAAATAAATAAATAAATAAATAAATAAATAAATAAATAAATAAATAAATAGTAAAACTATACTTGTGATGAGAGGTTGCTTTCTCAGTAGGGATTCTATTTTTTCTTTCTTCTTACACCTTTTATTCTACTTTTTGTTTTACTTTTTAGTTTTTAAAGAGATTAAAGTTTTTAGTATTTACTATTGTTGCAACTTTTAATATACTTATTTTAAAAAATAGGTACTGACAGAGAAGCATAAAAGCCTGGTTCCAGTGCTCCATATGGTATAGCACCTGGTTTCTTTTCACAGTCCTCCATAATAGCAGGCTCTTAGAAAAATAAATCATAAGTCATTGGTAATCATCGATTTTTATTTCGCAGTACAGCTTATCCTCCTGAAAGGACGACAGTGTTATTGTGCAATTTCAAATGTGTAAAGTGTCAAGCTTGTTTTCCACTCTTAAGCGTTCAAAGCTGAAATCTTTTCTTTAAGCGATTCTATTTGGAGTGCTTACTGGGGCTGATGGGCACCTAGCTGGTTGCAAACTGCTTCCCTCAGCTTGAGGTGCCAACTTATAAGGAGTTACTTAACAGAACAGAGGAGGCAGAGTTAGCTGTTATTTAAGCTGTTACCATTACAAGTTGCACTACACAACTGGAGGCACCACCTGCAGTTCCTCATGAGAATCATATTTTCTCCCATTTTATAAATGCAAATAGTAAAACGTTAAAATTTCAAAGATAACAAGGAAAAAAATCAATATATCTTTAGAATAGAAACATTTACATGGGAATAGATATATAGCTAGTCCTCAACTTGCAACTGCAATTGAGCCCAAAATTTTCATTGCTAAGCTAGGCGGTTGTTCAGTGAATTTTATGGTGTTTTTTTTGCTACATTTGTTAAGTGAATCACTGCAGTTGTTAAGCAAAACTAGCTTCCTCCATTGTAGTTGCTTTTTAGAAGCCAGCTAGGAAGGTTAAAAATGGTATCCTGTGATCCTGGGCAGAGCAACTATCATAAATACCTGCCCAATTGCCAGGTGTCCACATTTTAACCACGTGACCATGCAGATGCTGCAAGTGTGAGAACTGGTCATAAGTCATTTTTTTCAATGCCACTGTAACTCCAAATGGTCATTAAACAAATAGTTGTAAGTCAAGGATTACCTGTAATTTTTTTAATCAATCCATCAGAATAGAGCTAGAAGGGACTTCTAGGTCCAACCATCTGCTCAAGCAGGAGATCCTATACCAATCGCTTCTTAAAAACCTCCAGTGACGAAGCACCTACAACATCTGACGGCAACCTGTTCCACTGGTTAATTGTCCTCACTGTTAGGAAATTTCTCCTTAGTTCTTCTCGATTAGTTTCCACCTATTGTTTCTTATCCTGCCTACAGGTGCTCTGGCAAACAAGTTAACTCCGTCTTCTTTGTGGCAAGCTCTCAAATA